GCAAGTAAGTGCACCCAAGTCATGCACTGCCTGCAGAGGACAAAAGAGGAAGTTGGATCCCCTGGAACTGGAGCTGTGGATGGTTGTTAGCCACCATGTGGGTGCTGGGATTCCAACCCAGGTCTTCTGTAAGAACAGCCAGTGCTCTATATATTTTATTTATTATTTTTATTTTGTGTGTATCAGTATATTGCCTGCATGCAAGTAAGTGCACCCAAGTCATGCACTGCCTGCAGAGGACAAAAGAGGAAGTTGGATCCCCTGGAACTGGAGCTGTGGATGGTTGTTAGCCACCATGTGGGTGCTGGGATTCCAACCCAGGTCTTCTGTAAGAACAGCCAGTGCTCTTAACCTCTGAGTCATCTCTCCAGCCCTTGGAGTAGATATTATTATATCATATTAAAGAACTTCATTTTTATTCAGTTTACTAAGAATTATCTTTGGCTTATTAAGAGTTTTGCTTGGGTTTAGTTGGGAAATTGGGTTTCATCAATCCCACTTTCTCACTATACTATACTGAATTACAAACAGAATATCTAATCCTTCTGGAATTTACTGCCATTGATCTGAGGTTGCCAGTCTAATATTCCTTGTACTCTTTTCCTCTAAGAATGCTTGGATTTTCCCTTACTGCTATGTAGCACCATCACAGTATGCAGATTTGTTTTAGCTGTTGCATCTGGAAACTGACACACTTTAACTTATAGATGCATATCTTCCAGTTCTAGAACACTCCTAGTTAATTAATATCTCTTTGAACAATTTTTTCATTCTTTCTCTTCTTGAAATTCTATTAAAAGACTGGGGATGTAGCTCAGTAGTAGAGCTTTTGACTAGCAAGCCCAAGGCCCTGGGTTCAATACCTAAGAAGACAAAAAAATTCTATTGGACATATTTTGTTTTCCTACTTATCCTACCTGTCTATTGACAGCCCTTTCCTATTCTGCATCCCTGTGACTTGCTGTGCTATTTTCCATGGACCACATTGTTTCTTCAACTACATCTCTACTGCTTATGTCCCCAGTGGGCTTCTTATAGTTCAGCATTTTCTTCATTTCAAAAACTTTATTTAGTTTTTCTTTCAAATCCACCAACTCCTGTTCTCCTCTATCCTAGTCTTCAGTTTTAAGTTTCTCCTAATGTTTAAATCAGCTTAAGCATACTTATTGAGTAGTCTCAAATGTTCTATTATTTTGAGTTCTTGGAATTCTATTCCTCAAAGTTATGTCTGTCAAATCTCAATATTTGTTTAGCAAGTATAGTTTATCTCTCTTTTTTCTTTTTTGACCTCATATTCAAATGGACTATTTATCTAGGGCCCTGGGTGGTAAAAGTTTTGCTACATACTGGATTTGGGGGTTGATATTTGCAAAAGCCTACAAGTAGTTTGATGTCTTAAGGAGGTTTCTATGTTATCACCTTGTGGTTACCACTCTTGCAGGTAGTCACTATGGACCCTCATACCTGTATCCAAGCAACACAGGGCACTGGTTCCACAAGGAACTCTCCTATCCCAAGTTCGAGAGAGATGGTAAGCGTCTTCATCAATTCTCTGGTCACCCGGGCAAAACCATTTTAGTCAAAGAGGACAGCAAGCACATTTACTCTATTCTTTATGCAGGGGCCTCAGCTACAGACCCTCTATTTCCCATATGTCCAAACCCACACCTCCTGTCCTTAAACAGACATGAAAATCCAGCACTAGGCCCTGCACCTGTCTGAAAACCCTCTTGGCAGCTTTGATATCAGCTTCTCCTTATTCTGCTTTTGCTTGCTTATTTTGACATTTTTTATTTTTGCTTTTGTTTTGATAGCAGCTTGACTGAACTTACACCTAAATTTACTTACCTAAACCACATAATGTAATTATTTTAAGTATATTCATAGCTGTGCTTCCATCAGCTTAAACAATTTTAGACCATTTTGCTTACTCAAAAAAGAAACCCCATATCCATTAGCACTCACTCTCTACTTCCCACTATCCACAACCCCACCCACAGGCAACCATCAACATATTTTGTCACGATGTACTTGTCCTACTCAGGACAGTTCATGTAAACAGGATCATATAATAGAAGGTCCTTTGTGCCTGGCCTCTTTCACTTGGTATGAGATTTTTGCTGTATAATTACTTTATCCACTTTACTAATGCAAAATGTTCCACTGTATGGATATATTACATTTTATTTATCAGTAGTTGATGGATATTTGAGTTATTTCCATTTTTACCTACTGTGAAAAAATATTGTTATTAACACTCACGTATAAGTTTTTATATAGACATGGTTTTATTTCCCTTGGGAAGATCCTTAGAAGTAGAATTTATGGTCCCGTGGCAAATCCACTGATACTTCATTTCTGAAACACGTGCATGACATATTCCTACTTTTAAATTTGGATTAAAGTAAGCAATTTGGAGGAGGGGCTCCTGAGTTCCCACCTGTAGCTGAGGAGCTTTGGCACTTGATGGCTGCTAGGGGAGGGAGACTCACTTTCTTTTAGGAGTGTGGTCACTGGTAGGCTCCTCAGGCCCCAGTGGGTAACACCACACCCTGTATATATGGGCAACATTAACTGTACTCAATGGATTAAACAAATAATTATAAAAGGAGGACATGAAGTTGGGAGGGAGATGTGATGTGAGGGACTGGGGAAAGTTGAAGGGGAGGAGTGAGGTTGTATATGGTCAAGATACATTGTATATACATGTATAAAATTTTCAAAGCATAAATAAAAACTAAAACAAAAAATTAAAAAGAAATAATTATTTTTATTATATTTTATCTAGAATTTCTAAGTAGAAGGTAGAGAAGAAAAAAATATTTTGTGTCTGAGTGTATTGTGCGTCGGGGGGCATGTGGAAGCCAGAAGTTGATGACAGGCTTCTTCCTCTTACTGACCTCCATCTTATTTTTTGAGACAGGATCTCCTGCTAAACTTGGAGCTCACCCATTTGGCAAGATTAGCTGGCCAGCGAGCTCCAGGGATCCTTCTATCTCCACTCCCCAGTACTAGGATTACAGTTCAAAGCACCACATCTGGCTATTTATATGAATAATAGGGATCCAAACTCAGGTCTGCATGCTTGTAAAGCAAGAGCTGTATTGACTGTGCCATCTCCTCATACCCCATGAGAGGATATTCAGTATATCTTGTTCATATTTTTCACTGGCTTCCTATAGCCTCTTATTTAAAAATTTTTTTTAAATTGTGGTTTTTGAAGTGATATTAACTTCTCTATCCCAAATAATAGGAAAAATATGGAATGACTTTAAAATTGCTTCTTTTCATACTTTCCTGAATAGTTAACCAAAAGAGATAACAAAATAGCTGACAAAAATTATTTCCTCAACTCTTTCTATTTTAAAAAAATGATCTCAGAACTGGCAAGCTGGATCAACAGTGGTAGAAGAAGAGGATGGACTCCTGAAAGTTGTTCCCTGACTTTCACAAGTGCACCATGATGCATACATATAAATTAATTAAAATTTACACAATAACAACTGTTAATGTCTCACGTTTCCTGTGGAGCTGTGTGGCTGAATTAGTCATAAACTAAACCTTGGCACTTTCACCATTCACAATGTTTTAGGCTGCATGTGTTTGTTCTCCCAACTTTGATCCCTCTTCTTCATTCCTTAGATCAATTCATACTACTTAATTTACTCTTAGTTTCTTAAAGAAATCTGAATGTTGGTTCAATAGTCAGCATGTATTTTACACGTAGTAAGACGCTTTGGGTATGATTACTTTGTCGTTTATTTGTATCTATGATCTCACACCTATAAGCAAGTCCTCCCCAAACAAAGTTTTCTATAGGCAATCAAGCTAACTCTCTGTTCATATTTTCTTCAGTTTGTGACTGAAAAATAAACAAGTTCTTCTTTAAATTTTCTAATATTCTATAAAAGATAAGGTGTTATTTCTCATCAGTGTGTGTTACTTGAAGAATTACTCTGCATATAATAGCATCTCAGTGCAGCTGGATGTACCACATGGAGAGAAAATTCAAGCCATAGCACAAGGACATTATGAGAAAAGTTGTCTAGTACACTCAAGAGTTACAAAGGACAACTACAAATTTTCCTAGAGCAAACAGACTCTTTTAATTCCTCTTTTCAAAGAATGAATGGCAATAAGCATAATTAACCACCACTAAAAATAATCATATGAAAGGTCTAAATATAAAAAACAGGTTAGAAGCCAGGTGAGGTAGTACATGCCTTTAATCCCAGCACTTGGGAGGCAGAAGCAGGTGAGTTAAAGGCCAGCCTGGTCTACACAGTGAGTTCTAGGCCAGCTGGGGCTACAGGGAGACCCTGTCTCAAAGATACAAAAACAAAAACAGGTTAGAGCATATGAAAATATCCTAAAAATAAACTCTAGGCCTATGGGCCTGTAGGAATTGTTTTTAATCTTTTGTTATTAATTTTTAAAAATAGTTTCATACAAATGTGATTTTTATAAGAAAATTCTGCAAGCCAATGTTTTATAATCACTTTTCAACTGGTATGAAACCATTAGCAAACACTGAAAAGATGTTAACTGTGTTAAATTTAGACAAGGGATCAGTACTATCAAGCACAGAAAAGTTCCAGTGAAAATTCAGGAGATGGCAAGTTTAATGCTTAGGAAGCACAGCTCAGAAGACTCATCAACAAGCATTCAAATCCCAAACACAGTAGTGACTCGAGCAAGTGACTAAAACAGTTTTCTCATTTATAAAATACTAGTGAAGAAATTTTAATGTGATTATTATTCTAGTTTAGTGCTTGGTGATAGGGATTGGACACAGAGCTTTCTCTATCACTGAGATGTCTTAAATCGTTTTTATGCCTAATAAATGAGTATATGGCACGAGGAAAGTTCTAAGAAATGAAAGCAAGGTTGAAACACTTTTTGCAGACCTGTGAATGCAAACTATCAATTAAGCTTATAATAAGTACCATTTCAGCAAAGGCCCAGGGATTTGAACTCTGGCAAAAGAAGAATATGGTTACCTGGAAAGGCAGGCTTTAGTAACAGCATTATGGAGGTTTTCATTAGGATACTGTGATAGCCGGCGAGAGATTCTCAACAGCTGACGGGTAGAAAGTGATGATGCCAAGGACTGTGCCTATCAAAAGGCAAAGAGAGCCTGCTAAGAATCTTGCTTCAACTTCCTAATGCCCCTGTAGCTGGGCATCAGGGCACAGTTCACTATTCCCAAGGGACAAGGCCAAACTTAAACATGTTCCAGTAATGAGTTATGAGTAAAAATAGAGACCAATTTATACTTAAAATAGCCTTAAAGATAATCTTAATTTATAAAACAGCATTCACCAATTAAATTTAATTGAGGTATTTTAATGGGAAGTGAGTAGGGAAGGATGTTTTCTATATGGGTTATACCTGTCTTACAAATAACCCTTATGTATAATTGACTAGTCTCACTTTTTCTTCTTCACACAGCTGATTTGTGTAAGATACTCTGAAAATGCTTAGAGCTTTAAGCAAATCTGTAGTTTCTGAAATAGAAAAAAGGAATTGTGGACAGTTTAAGTTGTTGACCATGAAGATGTCAACGAGTTTGAAATTTGAGTGGCATATGCTATCTGGAACCTTTTTCTTAAAATTGCCAGAATACTTTCATTTCATTTTCTTGCACTTCCCCCAAATTACAGTTACTGATGCAGAACTTAGGTTCTAGTAAGTGCTTAGTAAATACTTGCTGACTTGAACTTGAAATTCTTTGGTAGGCAGTGCAATAAAATGGTCAAGTTTATAGGCTTTTATGTGAAACAAGTCAGATTCTTATTTATTAGCTATGTGACATTGACAAATTACTTAATTTATCCAAGTCTCAGTTTCCTCATCTTTGAAATGACACTAATAATATCCTCCCCTAAAAAAACTCACCTGAGGACTAAATTCTAAAATGATTCCAATGCATTTAGCACAGGTCAAAAATATAGGAGTGGCCAACAAATTACAGAGGAGTCTAACAGCCTCTTTATAATGAAAGCAACCAGACATAAGGACAGTAGGAGACATCGGCATCATGAATGAATCGGATAGTTTCTGGCCTAGTTTGCAACTCAGATCAACACTATGGTTTAAGCCAGAAGACTATGGTTTAAGCCAGAAGCACTTCTGAAGCTGCTGGACTTTGAGGAAGCACTGCAGGCCAGGGTGAAATGCTACAGAAGGGGATAAGGGCAGCAAAGCGCCCCCAGCACCTTAAGCATAAGAGAAGACAACTCTGGAAAACAAGGGGTTCAAAATGGATAAGGGGGAAATATGGAAGACACATTTAGGTAAGGTCATCTCAGTAAGCCCAAGGGAGAAAAACATGAACTGACTTCTCAAACATTTCACAGCTTCATGAAATCGTTTCATGTTGCTAGTACTGTTTTGGCTACAGTACAAGTTAAACAGTCCTTTGGGACTGAATTGGGAACATGACCACTGCCTATGGCATAACCTTATTTTCTGCCAAAGAACAAATCATACGTTTCAAAGAACTCATTTACAAGCAAACATTTGGTGACTCCTTGTTTTCAACAAATTTGCATTCTTGTCATAGAGACAATATTTAAATACAAGGGACCATAAATTTTCAATTCAATAGTACATAATATAACTTAACGCTAAAATAAGGAAAACAATTGACAAATACTACCCTGGCTTAAAATGCTCAAGTGAGCAGAAGAGACGCCATGAACAAAGGCATGAAAGCAAGAAGAGTACAGACCACACAGATCATGAGGGCATCAGGCTAGCTCTCCATGCACGCTGTTGAAAGGCTTTCAAACCGCAAGAACCTGTGTGGAGTATGGCCTTATTTCTAAAGGCAGCAGCACTGCACTGCGTGCAAAGTACTAGTATGATTTCAGAATGAGAATAATACTGGCCTAACTGTTAACTTAAATCAGCAGTTGAAAGATACAGACAACTGAGACCGGAAACAGAAGATTCCTTCATTAATCTGCCTACAAAAAGACAAAGCCCAGGAGGGTGGATCTCTGTGGGTTCAAGGCCAGCCTGGTCTCCATAGCAAATCTAGGCCAGTTGTGGCTACAGGGAGACCCTGTCTCAAAACAACAACAACAACAAAATCCCAAAGCCCTACGGGACAATTATACCAAGACTGAAGAGAAAGGAGGCAGGCAATGGCTCAAAGGAGCTGCTGAGTGACTGTACATGAGGAAGAAGGGGGAGCTACAGATGAACTTCCATGGTACGACAGAAAGTATCAGAGGCTTCCAAAATTCCCATCCTTTATATATCTAGAAACATGAAAAGTTCCTATGCTAATCAAGAAAATATCTGCCAAATGACCTCAAATAGGACTCTCTAAACAGAATCCTTATAAGCTAAGGGAACGTTCTAGCACCCAACCTCCTAATCTCATTCTAGCTGACACTGAATTCAGGCCTCCCATTTCTTCCCAGCGACTGCTGAAGGTTTCTCCTGGGTTTGAAGAAAAGCAAGCATTTCAGCTGATAGTACCAAAATCCTTTACAATATATCCAGTGTTTAAAAGAAAATCAAAATTAGTGGTTGAGCCATTTTGATGTTGAATAAAGGACTCAGTAATTTCTACTGTCAGATTATCAATTAAAAATTGAGAGTGTACCTTAATTTAAAAGTTCCTAATGTATTTAACATTTACAATATCAAATTTCTAACTGTAATTTCATCTTGCAGAAAGGAGGGTGAGAACGTGAAGAACTTTCCCTTAGTTACCATGGTTATGCAAGTTAAAAGCACACCTCAAAGGGTTTCTCATATTAGCACAATTATTAGTATCTCAGCTTAAGAATATAAAGGATGTCATCAGAAATGAACAAAAATAACTTCTCCTTAAAGAATTATTTCTGTTATTAAAAAATGTAACATTCCCAGGAGAGAAAAGCCTAGAAATAATCTCTTAATAAATTAGTAATTAATAAATTTTTCATTCATTCCTCAAAGATTTTAGCATCTTTTATGTGTCAGACACCAGGTTGGAAAAAAGGAATAAAAGACTGAACAAGACCCAGACTCCATGAATTCAATTACTAATTGGAGAGCTAAAAATATACTGTAATGTAACAGCGATAGGTCAGAGTCTGAAGTACATGTGAGTAATGAAAGCAGATTAGAGGTGCAGGTAACTTCTGCCTAGGGGACCGAGACAGACCTGGCAGGGTCCTTATGAAACAAGTAAATGGACAAAAACAAAAAAACACATTTCAGGCATTTCCCAAAGCAGAGACATTTTAATGTGTGCTAGAGTTAAAAAGTAGCAAAATAAGGTGTGCCGAGCTAGGGAGAGCAAAAGCAATGCATCCCTTAAATACCAGAATGAAAGGAAGAACTCCTGAAATGAATCAAGAAAGATCACTCCCAGGGTAATATGGAAGATTCATTCATTCATTCATTCATTCATTCATTCGATAACTTTTGAATACCTACTGTGTTGCAAGCTAAGACCTTGATTCTGAAGATACCACAGGGAACAAAACAAACAAAAATCCAACTCAGGGTAAACAAACAGACAACAGAAAGGGACTAAAACATGTCTATTATGTAGGGCTTATTCATAGGTCATAAGTCTTATTACCTATGAATCAAGGCAGACAAAGGGATAGGAACACAACAGGGAAGAGGGGCTTGAGGCATCGATGGCTCAGTGGTTAAGAGCACTAGCTGCTCTTGCAGAGGACACAGGTTTCATTCCAGCATCTATATTACAGTTAACAACCATCTATAACTGCAGTTCTGGAGGATCCGACGCCCTCTTCTGACCTCTGCAGGCATTGTACAACATGGGTGCGCTTACATACATGCAGGCAATATAGTCATACACATAAAATAAAAATAATAAATGAAATATATTTTTTGAAAAGCAGGGAGGAAATTCACCTCTGAAACAGACTGACTCAGAAAAGCCTGGCTGGGTAGGTGGTGCCTGAACAAATCTGAAAGGGGCACGGGAGTAGAGCAATCTGGTAGAGGGAAATGCAGCAGCCAGGCAGGCACTACTATGTTCAAGAACAGCAAAGACTGGAGGGCTTGCTTTCCTAGTGCCAGAATTTGCTCTGCAGCCTGCTGGAGGAGCAAAGTCATCAACAGTCTTGGCCAGCTGTGAACTCTGGGAGCTACTATAATGACTGGTTGCCCAGATATGTCCACTGGTAAATAGTGGCATGAATGCTATGGGAGTAATAACAGCTTTCTAATTGGACTTAAGGCCTGTTCCACAGGAGGGAGCCCATGCCTGGTACTATAAACCCAGCCAGAACTCACAGCTGGGGAGGTCATAGGCCCTAGTACTATGATTTTGCTAAAGGGGCAGTATTAAATTGCCTTTGAAATAGGTATCTTTATACCCACAGACTAGTGCCACTTTCACTCTCATCAGAGAAGCATCTTTATGCAGCAGATGGTAGTTAATATAGAAACTCACAATAAGAAAAAGTGAACAGAGTGAGTTAGTGCTTATCCCTAAGCAGGACATCTATATCACACTACCTCCCAAGGCTCAGGGCACATTGTAGAAAAGGGGGAAGAAAGATTGTAAGAGCCAAGGTTGGTAAGACTGCTGATAAATATAATGACTTCTGGACATGACAAGGCTGTTGTACTCATGAACTCACAGGATCTTGGTTGCTGATGTAATATCTGCACAAGATCAAGCCAATCAACACTCCAGCATGGAAAGGGAATATGCTCACAGGGTTCCACCTCTAGCTGAGGAGTCATTGGCAACTGACAGTCAGTGAAGGAGGGACAGTCAGTTTTCTTTAGCTGTGTAGCCCATGGCAGGCTCTCCATACTCCCAGAGCTTGGCTCCTACACTGATGTGCATACAAGTAGCACTAATTGGACTCAGTGGGTTATGAAGAAAAAGAGGAGAAGGAGAAGACACATGAAGTTGAGAGGGAGATGGGGGACGGAAAGGAGGAGTTGCAGAGGTTAGCAGCAGATGGATATAACCTAAATATGTAATATCCATGTATGAAATTAGCAAAGAATAATTTTAAAAAATGTTAAATAACAGCAATGAGAATGACACAGCTAAAAAGAATGGGGGGGGGGTTAAAACAAGGTCCCAAAGTAATTAGCAGACCTATGACAGTTAGATATGGTCCCATGTCTGTCCCCCACTCCCCACAACATATAGACATCCACATAATTGATAGAGCTTATGAATGTTACTTTCTAAGACAAGTAGTCTCTGCAGATAAGATTAAGGGTATTTAAAATAAGGCCATCATCCTGGATTACTCAGGTGACCCCTAAATGTAATCTTAACACATCTCTGTAAAAAGGGGCAGAAGAAAATTTGACAAAGATACACAGAAGAAGGTGATGGAATATGGAGGCAGGATTGACACGAGGCCATAAGTCAAGGGATGCTGACAGCAACCAAAGCTGAAAGGAGCAAATAATAGGTTCTCCTGGAGCTCCCAGGGAGTTCAGCTCTGCCGACACTTCAGTCTTATCTCAGTCATACTGATTTGTCCAGACAGAAAAATTTCTCTCTTTAGCCACAGATTTTTTTTTAATGGTAATTTATTAAAGCAGTCATAGGAAACTAAAAGAAAGCTATGCGATACACAGTTATTACTGGTGAAGAGGGCAGTGGAGAGGAAACGATACTACTCCAGGAGAAAGATTATGAAATCTAAGACAAGAACAATTACTGAGAGCAGATAAGAAAGCAGGTGCAAACTCATGCTGAATTGCAGAGACCTGCCATCAGATTCAGTGAAACATCATCGGCAGGGCATGGACTCAGTAATGATGTCCTTTAAGGTAGTAACTGGGCAAACAGACTATTAACAGTCAGGAAACTAAATCAGGAACATGAACAGACTGAAAGAAAAAATGTTAGTTCTCTATGTTGCGTTTACAGCTATCTGAAGTATCCAGTTGACAGGGAAAGAAACTGGCATTTATGAACAGTTACTAAGGGGGAATTTTTTACGTATATTTTTATGTTTAATCACTGCAACCTTCTTATGATGCAGATGGCAGTGTTTCCATTAACAGATGAAAACAAGGCCTCACAGAGTAAGAGAGTAACTGCCCTTGGGTTGGCGAGATGGCACAGTGGGTAAAGGTGCCTGCTGCCATATTAGATTCCTGGAACTCACAAAGGTTGGAAGGAATGACAGCCTCGAGTTGCCCTCTGACCGCAACATTCGTGCTGTGGTGCACACGTATACACACAATTAATTCTAATTAATTAAGTAAAAAAAGAATGATTGTCTTTTTTCTGTCCTAAGATGGAAATACAAAGAATACATTGGTAAAGACAAAATAGAGGCTCAAGACAAAGACACAGGCATTAACTTAGAGACGGAACTTAGAGCTGTAAGCCTAGAAGATGCTCTGTAGAGAATAAAACAAAGAGACAGAGCAGATCCACAAGAACCCCAAGTATTCCTCTGAAGCTAAAAGTCATTCTCCCTTGCATGAGCCATGGATAGAAGAGATGCTAAAATCACTGAAATCAGAGTTATGCTGCTCTATAGCACAAAGCATAGCATATGGAATAAAAACACCAGCGTAAAAACAGCTTTTCAAGCAACAGCATGTCAATGATAGAAAATCTGTGAGAAAAGCCCAGACTTACTGTTGGATCCTGGGTCTCTCTGAGTTTGTGTGTAAATGATAACAATTTCTCCAAAGCTTCCTGAGGTATATTTGGGACCTATTTTATAAGAGTGAAAAAAAAATAGGAAGAATCAATTGGATTTCTGATCAGTCAGCCAGAAACAATGACTATTTAGCAAATAATATTAGAAATACATTTTTAGCAATTCTTTTGGCTATTGGGTCCATGAATAAAGCTGTGTCATCAACATCTCAGGAAACACATAAGCCCTGCGTTCCTTTAAAGAATCAGGCAAATAAAACCAGCTACCTCTTTTCCATATGCAACTCAATCACCAGACTGACAGGAGGCTCTAACTCAAGCATACCATGAAAACCTTCCTATTTCCCGCTTTGTTAGCTTCTGCATGGTTCTTTAAGGTCTTCAGGCGTTTTCTTACTGAAACCAAATTCCTTTATTTAGTAGAATATTTATATAAGTTATATAATTTTATTTCTGTAACATATATAATTACTAAGTGGCCTAAGGTACTCTCATATGCAAAATGGATGTTCAAAATGTTTATCTTTCTCAGACTTTTAAAATACATCTTTACTGAGTGTGGTGGCTCATGCCTGTAATGTCACCACTTAGGAGGCTGAGGAAAAAGGATCATCAAGAGTTCAAGGCCAGTCTAGGCTAAAGAGTAAGAACTTGTCTCCATAAAACACAGGAATAAAACACACACTTGACAGCCATGATCAACGCAACAAACTGTGAAGAGCAGATGCACAAACAACACACATTTCTTTCAATGATAATAAACTTTAATGTAAATCACTTTGTTAAACTATAAACAATTTTTATTTAAGCAATGATTTTTTTTTAAACTTAAGAGAATCATAAAGATGTTAAACAATGGCCTAATGTAGCCATTTTGAAAATATACTGGTCTCTTTGGTCGTTTAAGTAACTGGAATTTTAAAAAATTCTACTTATATTTCCCACGGTGTAGGAAGTAGCATTACCATCATTATCAAATAAAGAAACCTGATTAATTTATCTGAGATCTGGAAGCCACTATATAGAGGGAATCATATATCTAGAGCCAAGGTGTTGAACCCTGAAGCCTATGCTTTCATTCACAGTTACCCTCGCACAGAACACAAAATCAATCAAATCCTTCAATGATTTCAAAGAGAATGGGTTCAGTTATGCAAGTGTTAATTAGTAGTGATACAGACTAGCACAGTCCAGTAGAACTCTCTATGATTATGGAAAATGTTTTTTCTCTAATACTGTAGCCAAATCTGTCCTAGTGGCTGCTAAGCACTTCAACTGTACCTGAGAAACTCAGTTTTGGAAATTTTATTTCCTGTAGGTAGTGGTATTCCATTAACAGTATACTTCTAGACCTCCCAAGGAGCTAAACGCAATGCTGGGTTAAGGCAGACACTGCAATCATGGCTCTTATACTACAGCCATCCAGAGACTATAAGATTATAGTCCTGAAGGGGACTGGACAACTTCAAAAGAAAATAGCTACAGACACTAGCTTAGAGCAGGCCCTGACTCTTACCATTTCTTTAATCACTTGGAATTCTTCACTTTTGACAAGTGGTTTCATGTGATGGAAAAAGAACATGGTTAAGAATTCTGGTCCCAGCCACTGCTGTGTTGTACTTCCAATAACAGGGGGCTCTGCCAAAGCGATGATTCTGAAGGAGGGGTGGATAGGAAAAATGGATCTAAAAGAAGGAAAATAAGAAAAACAAAACATAACTTTTCACATTAGAAATTGTGTTATGAGAGATGGAGCCTAGGAGTGATAAGCCTGTCATTCCATAAATAATGTCAAAGTTATTATTCAAAAAATGGGCTTTGTAAAGCAAAGTAGGATACTGCAAGATTGAGTAAAAAATGGAATAATTACTGAATACTAATAAAAGTACAGTACGTGTTTATGAAAGTCCAATCCTCCCACAAATCACTGCTTTTGTTATGCCTACAATACATTATCTCTGAAATTCCTTGAAATAAAATCACACCTTCATAGTCATTACATAGGTTCACTCCTTATTTATTCATCTAAAATCTTCTCAAAACCTGTTTTGCAAAAAGCCCACTCTACATCAGTTATAGAGAGTCTAAAAAGCATCATTTTTGGATAGAAGAGACTTTTGCTAAATATAGAAAATTTCAGTAGCATATGGGGTTATAATACATTAAAATTAGATCATGAAAATTTAGAAACTAAAAAGTTAAAGAGAATTGAACTTTTATATAATTTACTCATCACTGATTAAAAAAAATGCTAGAATTTTGAAACTGATCTCTTAAGAAGTCTGCTGGAAAATGAGAGGAAGTATATAAACAACTTCAAACACAGAAGGGAAAAGAGTAAGAGCTCCGAGGCATAGAGGAGTAACTTGAATGTCTGGAGGTGAAGGAACAAACGCTTCTACGATGATTGAACCAGCTGGGCGATACTGTCAGCTTTTAATCAACCCTCCCTAAAAAAGCTGGTGGTAATATGCTTTTAGAGGGCAATATAGTTCTTGCTGAGAGAAAAGAGAGATGAAACTCATGATTGCCAAGTGTCCTAGTTTGTTCTTTATTGCTGTGACAAAATACTCTGACCAATACCAACTTGGGGAGGAAAGGGTTTATTCAGCTTACATCTCCCAGGTCACAGTTCATCAGGAAGTCCACGGTAGGAACTCAGGGCAGGAACCTGGAGGCAGGAGCTGGAGCACAGGCCATGGAGGAACGCTGCTTACTGGCTTGCTCCCCTGGCCTCTGCTCAGCCTGCTTTCTTATGCAACACAGGCCCACCTGCCCAGGGGTGGCACCACTCACAGTGGGCTGGGCCCTCCCACATCACTCATCAAGAAGATACCCCTCAGACATGGCCATAGGCCAGTCCAATAGACACAATTCCCCAACTGAGGCTCCCTAAACTTAGGTGTGTCAAGTTGACACTAAAGCTATCCAGCACACCAAGGTTTTCAGAAAAACAAAAATACAGGTATATAATGGGCATTTCATCACTAATACTTTCAGTAAAATGCAAGAGTTTTGTGGTTATGTCAAAATCAGGAGGGGGACCTGTGTAAACCAAAAAAGCTCTGAAGAGTTGAGACAGAGGAAGCTGTGTAAGACAGTGGGCAGAACCACCAAATACCAGCTATATGGATCAGAGCTCTATAGGCCATAGCTTAACTGTAAACCAGGGAAAGCAACTTCAGGACAGCCATCTGAAGGATAAAGACTGAATGAATTCATAGAAGCTCACAGTGATTTCATTTCTCTTGACTTAAAAAAATATATACAATAAATATATAGAAATAAGTGTGTGTGTGTGTGTGTGTGTGTGTGTGTGTGTGTGTGTATACTATCAGAGCCTGAATCTGCCCAAAAAGTTTGTTCTAGAAAAGCAGAGAAGGATACAACAGGGATATTCTGGTCTCTTAGGGTAGTGATCAGATAGTATTAAAGCAGATTCTAGACACAGGATCCTGAGATTGGAAAGCTAAGAAGGCACGTTACTCCACTTCTTTTTTTAAGGATTTTATTTATTTACACAGTGTTTTGCCTGCATGTATTTAAGTTCACTCATGTATGCAATGCCTGTGGAAGTCAGAGGATGGTGTTGTGATTCCTTGGAACTAGAGTTGTTAGCCCCCACGTGTCTGCTGGGAATGGAACCCAGGTCCTCTGCAAGAGCAGACAGTGCTCTTAACCACTGAGGCATCTCTTCAGCCTCGGGTTAGTTAGCTAAGTAGTTTGCTAAATCCAGATGAGTGTCATGAGGCTCAGCAACAGATGTTGGATTCATCATTGATCCCTCTGACTCTAGCTGAGAAAGAAGATAAGGAGGCACAGGACTCTGTTTGGCTACAGAAAATTAAAGCTGCAGATACAATTAGAAACAGCAAATCAGGGAATAAACAGTCAAAATCCAACATTCGCCCAAAAGGGGAAGTCCAATCTATATCCTTAAACTAGAGAAGCAGGTAGTAGGTAACACAGCTGAGCTATGATATCAACAGTAGAAGAGCAGCTGAGGGCAAGCAAGCTGGGTGGTCAGAATTGAAATATGCTTATGGTTATTTGCAATCTCTGTTTACAGCTTGTATTTTAGTATTGGTTCCTACATGGCACCAGAGTGAGCAGGCACTGAGCAGAAAGGCACATGCTGATGATAAAAACAGCCACCACTGAATAACAGGACGAGAAGGACCTTTTTGTTTTCTAGTTTCTCTCTGAAGGCTTCCTTGTATACAAATAGTCATATGGAAAGTCATTTCCTGATGCTAAGTTCCCTACCTCATACTTCAAAGTGAATTAAGAAGCCACTGTGTAATACCAAAGCTGAAGAAGAGATACATGATTAAAACATAGAAAACAAAGCATTATAAATATATAAAATCAGGTTTAGGTTTAACTTCATTAGAACTGAACAATAACAACAAAACTGCAAAGACAATGAAAGATGTGGCTTACCTTCAGATAAGTATATATTATCTCCTAAGGATTAAAGATTTTAAAAGCTAAAAATTTATTATTTAAGTTTTTAGAATGTAAAATATCTTCTAATGTTCCTCATAATAAAACGGAATGAGTTATACAAAGTAGATAATAATCTCAAACAAACTTGAGTAAAAATTAAAAAATGAAACAAAAGAGTACATATGGTATGGTTCTAACTTTAAGAAAATTCAAGATATAATTAGTGAGCAGAAGAGGGTTCCTGGGAATGAGGAGGACAATGAGCTCTTAGAGATAGAAGGGAGGCCTGAACAGGGTATAAAGACACCTCAGGGAGTAGAGATATGTACATTGTCCTGACTGTGGTAATGGACTCACAGGCATAGACATATCAAAAATTATCAAATAGTACACTTTAAATATGCAGTTCCACAGGTCAATTACACCTAAACAAAACTAATAAAAAGGAAAGACTTCAGTAAACCCCAGTTCTTTGAAGCAAGTTATGATACTTTTTTGTTGAATATGCATTTAAGAAACTTGAAAGAATGGTATCTCTCCATAATTACCTGAATTGCAGCTGGAATAGGAGTTTAAAATCCTATAGTATATTACTAAGGTTCCCATACAAGTAATGTTACATAGATCTGAGCACAGGCCATATCTCCCTTTCTTTCTATGCAATGAAGTACATGTCATGGACACATTACTATCACACTTTCACACTGAACAAGATCCAGTGTGCTATATGGAAGAAAGGAGATAGAAATAAATGTGTGCTGCTACTTTTAATAACCATTATCACAAGACTCTTTTCTAAGTCCTTTAGTAAGAGGGACAAAGGAAGAAAAGGAATAAGAACTAAAAACATGAGTCTCCTACTGACAGCCTAAACCTGGTACAGAACGAAGCTACGAGAGGAGCTGCATTCTCTGGATCAACAGACAAACTTAGAACACGAACTACAAAGTAATTATATCTTGCACAGGGACAGGGCTTAAAAACTGTTCCTTGACCATGAAAATATTCAGGATTGTTTTTAAAAAACCAGAATTTCTTCAAGGCTTTGTGTTTGTTCTTCGTGGGCTAATTTACTAGAAAAGACATGCTGAAGTTTCTGGGAGGGTCAGACAGAATATTCATACTGTAATTATTATCTTCAAACATGGGTAAGTGTAAAAATAAAAGGGCCAAGAGAATATAATTGATGGAGAATTTTCAAATGTTATGATTCATCACTAATCAAAAAAGGCTGAGACTATTAACTGTTTTCAACAACAATCAATAAAAATAAAACATTCAATAAAAATAAAACCGGCTAGAGTGTATGTAGCATGACTAGGACAGGCCACTCATCTATATCGCTTCCCTGCTTAATCAGCAGGAAAGGACACATTTAGTAGCCTGGTGTTTGTACTCCCTCTTTCACCAAAATAAGTTATTCTCATTAAAGGAAGCAGCTCTATTTTGGTACTTATTTCCTGCAAGAAATACAGGCATGGTTGGTATCTGGCATGTGTGGCCATCACACTATTTCTAACTGTCATGTCCATGCACTCCTGTAAAAGAGAAAATTATAGCATTTCTAAGGGGAGTTAGACAAATGACTGCTTGAGAAAACTATAAGAACCTTCAAAGCACTCTGGATATTATCAAGGTACACAATCTTAGGGAAGAACTGGTAAACAATGAGTGAGTCAGATATAATTGTTTTCAAACTAGATATCATATCATGAAGTTGAAAGGGTGGGGAGACCACAGCCAACACTGCTAATTCTGAAACCCAAAGATATCAGGACACCATTTTATCAAAGGGCATTGAAGTATTACTAATTCATAGATTTATATTGCCATCTTTAAAAGTCACCAATTACTTGAGCTTTCTAACCTCTATCTCAGGTTAAGATTACCAAGTAGTCTACTATGTGCCACATATTGTGACATTAGAAACAAAGAAATGAAAAGCAGAAGACAGCATCCTGACAAGACTAAAGTCCCAGGATCTAGTTATTTCCCGAGGCCCAACTACATCCCTGTCTTCCATTTTACTACATGAGATACTAGAGGTTTTCTTTCCAAACACAACTATAAAAACTGTTTCTATCTGGAAGCAAAAGCAGATATCGAAATTTACAACACTGGGTTGACAGGCAAAGATGCTCTTAAATCTCCATTACCATTATGTTACTCAAGTTCAACAAAATCATCCAAGCACTGCTATTGGAACAGAGCTTTAAAGTATAGAGGCACTAGACCA